GCTCCCCCTGCGCAGCCCCTCACCATAGGCAACACCAGGCCCTGGTTGTAGTCCGTGTGTTCCCCGATGAGGTTGACGCGGCCCGGCGCCGACACGGCCAGCTCGGGCTCGGCCCCGAACTCCTCGCGGAAGGCTCGCCGGGCCTCGGCCAGCAGCTCCTGGACCTGGGGCGGTCTCGAAGCAGCCATGACGCTGGTCTGCAGTTCGGCGCGCCGCGGCGCGGGATGCTGGGGGTGGGGCCTCGCATTCCTGCCCGACGCCCCGCCCCCGCCCCCGCCCGCGGAGTGCGACCGAATCCACCTGCTGGGCTGTGTTCCCGATGATGTCCTTCTCTCTGGACTTTGGGGAAAACCAGTGACGACCGTGTGAATGAATATGGCCTTGAGTGGCACTTTGCACAACTGAAAGATCTGAACAGCCCTTCCCTACCCTGGCGACTGTTGATGGGTCCCCATCTAACCTCCACCAACACACAGCCAGAGCAATGGAGATGGCAGTCGGCAAACCTGGATTCCCAAAGGCATCTCCGAGGGCTTCAGGGGCAGAAGCTATGAGAAGTCATGGGTTTCTAATAGTGGCACACAGTGTAGAGAGAGACAATCAGGCAAGTTTGGTAGGAAGTCGTTTTTTTACAAGCTCCTTTTCTAGGGTGGACCCATCCAAGTCCCTAGCAATGGAGGACTGAAGGAGGATAGCCATGGCCCAGCCCCTCCTTGAAGTACCAAACAACTGCTGCTGCTAAGGTAGGTCGCACTGTGGGCCCCAGGAGATGCTTCCTCACCCCGAAGCCTTGGTCTCAAACGCATGGTCCCAACCTTTGCCGGGATGCCTGTTCACACCTGCCTGCCCTGTATGTGCATATGGTGTGTGGATGGGGCACTGTGGCCAGGATATAGCTTGGGGCCTGCTGAGTGGTTTGCTCAGAGAACTGCATTCAAAAGGCTGCTGGAGGGCTAGGGTTGTGTCTCAGCAGTAGAGTGCTGGTTTCGATGCTCAGCACCACATAAAAATAAATAAAATAAAGGTATTGTGTCCAATTACAACTTACAAAATTAAAAAAAGAAAAAAGGCAGATCAAGGGCTGAGGATATAGCTCAGTTGGTAGAGTGCTTGCCTCTCTCATGCACAAGGCGGTGGGTTCATTCCCCAGCACCACCAAAAAGGCACACCTGTAATCCCAGGAGAAAAGGAGCTTGTAAAAGGAGCTTCTCACGTAGCTGATGGGAAAGAGGGGCTGGCCTTGTGGCTTGTAGTAGAGCATGTGTGAGGCACTGGATTCAATTCTCAGCAGCACATAAAAGTAAAATAAAGGTATTGTGTCTATCTACAACTAAAAATATTAAGAGAGAATGAGAGCAAGCACTGGATGTAGCTAAGTGGTTAAGCACCCCCTGGGTTCAATCCTTGTGGTTTTTGTTTTGTTTTGTTTTGTTTTTAAAAGGCAGCCCTGGCCAGCCTGGTAGTACAGGCCTGTAGTCCCTTCAACTGAGGAGGCTGAAGCAGGAGGATCACAAGTTCAAAGACATACTCAGCATTTAGGAGAACCTGAACAATTTAATGAGATCTTGTCTTAAAAACAAAGGGTTTGGGGGCTGGGGATGTGGCTCAAGAGGTAGCGCAATCGCCTGGCATGCATGTGGCCCGGGTTCTCTCAGCACCACATACAAAGATGTTGTGTCTGTCAAAAACTAAAAAATAAATATTAAAAAAAAATTCATTCTCTCTCTCTTTTAAAAAAAAA